GCTTTTAAAAGTCGAGAGGAACAAAGCAATGTAAACAGAGAAAACTCTGTTGCAGCACCAGAAAATTCAAAGGTGCTAGTAACAGGACAGAATTTGTTAAAGACACAAAGCAGAAAAGATCAGGTTGAGAGAAAAGTCAGTCAATATCAATCATCTGTGATTCTACTTAGGCAAAGAGAAGGTTGAATTAGGAAGAAAGGGGTTGCATTTCTCCAGTAGGGCCTCAGAAGCTGCCAAGTTCAGAGCCATAAGGGCCAGAAACGAGGGCAGGGCTCAGGACAGCCAATAGGGAAAGGCGAATGAAAGATGTTAGGTGCCTCTCCAGAAGAACAGTCTGGCTGGCTGTTCACCTACAGCTTCACATGAGTCCAGTGAAGCCCTGGTAAAGTATGAACTTTACCTCAGTGCTGCTAACATAAGCAGTAGAATTTGAAAACTCAGGAATTCTCAGTTTTAATCATAGCTAACACAAGTTGGCAAAAAACAAAAAACAAAAACAAAAACAAAAACCCAGAAACTCACAACCATTATTCCGCCAACTTTTCCAACTGATTCAAAAGTTCTCAAGTTCATCTTAAGAAAAAAAGTGCAAATAACTAAGAAAATGCTGAAAACAAAGTACATATTGGGAGATGGGGGCAGAGATGGGAGACCTGTCCAATCAGATGTCGGAACGTTTGGCAAAGTTACAATAATTCAAATAGTGTAGGAGGGGCACTGGACTAAACAGATCGATGAACCAAAGGTTCAAAACAGCCCAAGAATACACAAGTCTAATAATGCATGATACAACGTAATGTACAAACTACAATAAAGATGATGGATAAGTGGTTCTTGGACAACTCACCATGTGAAAAAAGGTCTTCCCATCTCACATTGGCATAAGTTCTACATTTATGTATTACAAATAAAGATATAGAAGGGCCGGCCGAGTGGCTCAGTTGGTTAAGAGCTCGCTCAAGAGTGTGATCTCTGAACAATAGGGTCGCCAGTTCAACTCTCAGCCCAAGCTGAGCTGCCAACAGCTGCCAATGGGTGGCAGGATGGCTCAGCTAAAATAAATAAATAAATAAAAACAAAGACATAGAAGAAAATACAGAAATATATTTTTAACATTCTAGGTTAGAAGTAGGCTTCACAGCCAGGAACTATAAAGAAAAGATTAAGTTGACTCAGAGGAATATTATTTTTATGGAGTCAGTCTAAGGCATGACAACTGGAGAAATAGTAGACAGATATTCCCAAGTGGGTTCATTTCTTTTGCAGATATAAAGTTTTTACAAACCAACAAGAGAAAAAAAAAAAGAAAGAAAATGAAGAGGCATTCATAAAAGAAATGTCAATGTCCAAAAAAGTCATGGGAAGATATTCAACCTCACCAGTTAAAGAAATAAAAACTTACTGTACAAAAATTAACTCAAAATTGATAAGACCTAAATGTAATAGCTAAAGCTATAAAAATCTTAGAAAACGACACAGGAGTAAATCTTCATGAGCTAGGACTAGAAAATGGTTTCTAAGATAGGACACCAAAAGCATCAGCAGCCAAAGAAAAAAATAGATAAATTTGACTTCATCGAAATTAAAAACCTTTGAACCTCAAAGGACACCAGTAAGAAAGTAAAAAGACAACCATTAAATGGGACAAAATTTTTGCAAGTCATATATCTGATAAGGGACTTGTAACTAGATTACATAAAGAACTATATTGCAAACTCAATAATAAAAAAAAACAGTTTTAAAATGGGCTAAGGATCAGAATAGATATTTCTTCAAGGAAGATGACAAATGGCCAACAAGCACATAAAAAATGTTCACATCATTAACTGTCAGGGAAACGCAAATCAAAATCACAATGAGATACCACTTCTCACTCAGTAGGATAGCTATGTCAAAGAAGCAGAGAATAAGCAATGTTGATGGAGCTGTGGAGAAACTAGAACCCTCATATGCTGATGGCGGGAATGTAAAATGATACAGCCACTTTGGAAAACAGTCTGTCAATTCCTTACAAGGTTAAATATAGTTACATAGGAGTTAGCAATTATACTTCTAGGTATACACCCGCCCCCCCTCCCCACATGCAAATGTATGGCCACACAAAAACTTACATACAAATGTTTATAGCAGCATGAATCATAATAGCCAAAAAGTGAAAACAACTCAAATGTCCATCAAAGGTGAGTGGATAGACAAAACGTGGTATGTCCGCACAATGGAATATTATTTGACAATACAAAGGAAATGAAGTTCTCATCCATGCTACAGCATGGATGAACCTTGAGAACGTTATGCTAAGTAACAAAATCCAGTCACAAAAGACTACATGGTGTATGATTCTACTTATATGAAATGTCCAGAATAGGCAAATCTCCACAGACAGAAAGTAGATTAGTGGTTGTCAGGCACTGGGGAAGACAGAGGTTTTGGAAGAGACAGCCGAGGAGTGGGAAGTTTCTTTCTGGGGTGATGACGAGTTTCTAAAATTGACTATACTGATGGTTGCACAATACTCTGAATACAATGAAAGCCCTTTACTTGTACATTTTAAATGGGCAAATTGTACGGTATCTGAATTATATCGCAATAAAGCTGTTTTTAAAAAATAAATGAAAATTTAAACAATAATTACATGTTTACTAGGTCTCCATGTGACAAACTCTCGGGGAGGGGGAGGGCGTGTGGGGGGGGGGCATCCCTTGTCTGTTTTATAACCCCTCACCTTCCCAAGGGTACTCACCAAGCCTCGTAAAAAGGCTAACACAAAGTGGATGCTTAATAATAGGTAGATACCTCCTAGCAAAGTTGCTGTAAAATGAATTTCTATAGGGGAAAATTTTTGTTTGTTTCCCGTTTGACTTTCATGTTGACGTCAGAGATGCTCTCCTATATTAAATCTCTCTCCAGCCCAGGCATGCACGAAGAGTTTATGAAGAAATTTAAGTCTCCACTTTCTTCTAAAGCACCTTCTTTCTCACTGCTCCTACCCAGACCATAAGAAACCACACTGAAAGATACTCTGGGTCATTCCTGGGCATTCTGGAGACTTCCATTCTCTTTCATTTCAGTTCTGGCCTCAGCATCTACCCATGCATGATACTTTGTTTCGCCAGCAGGTGTTGCTATCTGACCTTTGAGTTTAAGCACCAAACTTGAAATACACGAACGGCCAGGAGGTGGCGCACAATTCCCCTTATGCATAGCGTGGGCTATGGTGCCTAAAGAGCAACTTCCTTCCAAAGAGTACAGTAGGAGAGAAAGAGAAAAAAGAGTTACTGTACCGTGGAGAAACCTGACAAGCAATACCTCGTCACGTGAACCTCAAGTCAGGTGATCAAGGTTAACATCAACAGGGATAATAAATAGTGTTGATCGCATGAACCCTTGATATGATGTATTGAGAACAGGACTTGACCTCTGTGCTTTTCCTCCCCAAAACGCATTACCCCAAGTCTAATTATGAGGAAAACATCAGACAAATCTCAACTGACGGACATTCTACAAAATGCCTGACCAGTACTCCTCAGAACAGTGAAAGTCATCAAAAACAAGGAAAAAGTCTGGGAAACTGTCACAAGCAAGAAGTGCCAAAGGAGACCTGATGACTAAATGTAATGCTGGATGCTGGATGGGATCCTGGGACAGAAAAAGGACACTGGGCTAAAACTGAGGAAACCTGAATAAAGGACTTTTAGGCAATAATAATGTACCATTACTTAAAGTGACAAATGTGCCATACTAATGTAAAACGTGAAGAAGCAAAACTGCATGTGGGTATATGAGAACTCACTGTACTGTCTTTCAATAATTCTGGGATCTAAAACTGTTCTAAAATAAGTCTATTTTTAAAAACTAATTCACTAGCTTGCTGATAATTTTGCCAAAATTTTTTTTAATTATAATTAAAATTATTCTATTTTAAGGAATAGTTCCAAGGGTTTAAAAACTATAGCTTCTTCTTTGGGCACATTTTTAAGTGATTAGAAGACAGAAAAGCAAAACTTCAGGCTTGGAGAGCAAGGCGGCTACATGATGGGGCGGAGGCGGTTCCCTGAGAAAGAATGGAGTCCCAGGCAAGTCCCCATCATTTCCACCGCTGCACAGGCAACATGGCTGCTTTCAGCTTGAAAACCAGAAAACTGCCAGTGTCACAGCATATTCAGCCTCTTCCAACCTTGGGGGAAAAAGAAGGCTTAAGAGATGCAATGGTATCTACCAGGAAAATTGGTAGTGCTAATAAGTTATTCAACCAAGGTTACTGCTGAAAGAGTATTGCTGACGAGGTTTATGATCCAAATTGTCCTTAAGCCACCAAAGCCCCAAGAAACATCTGGGGTGTAAATAGTTATTATTTCTACTGAAAACAAAGTAGTCAGAGAAGTGCTCAATATGTATGTTGATTTTAAGTGGTCTTTTCACTTTTATTTGCTCTGATTCTGTTTTTTAAAAAATGAGCAGATTTAAGTAATAGATAAATATTTTGCTACTTAAATAAACAGAGCTAAGGTAGCTTTGGGGTTTGTTTTTTAAATGAAAAACTGTGGTTGAGTGGATTGTGTATTAGATTCCTGCTCCCTGAATTAACCATGTCTAAAGAAAGCCCAGCCAGCTGTAATCTGAGGCATCCTTCTTCACCTGGTGGCAGACATCCAAATCTTAAGAATAGTGTCCAGGAAGGGTGAAACCGTCTTTAAAGAGACAGCAAATGAGAATTAGGGTTCTCCATACCTCAAAAAACTGCCATAATGGAAGTGAAAACCTACCCCACCCTACTCAAGAAACTGGCATACTATATAGAAATCAGAAACCAAAACCTAAAAGGTGAAATAGATTATTTGGTATCAATAAACAAGTTTTACATACATTTGCTGGGTGAATCTGGCATCCAGTGTAAGGCAGAGCTTGCCTGCAATTTAGGGGTGAGAATTAAGTGAACGAACCTCCACAGGAAAGATAATGCAAGAAAAGCGAGTAACAAGCTATAATGACTTAGTACCTACGGGAATGAGATGAGTGGGCTGCGATTCTTCCAGTTTGTTCCTCAACCAGTCAAAATCCTGGTATCTCCGACGAACAGAATATTCTGGCAGGTCAAACTCCACCCGAGTACTCTGCAAATAAGAAGAATGGAACAACATAAGCATAAGGGAACAGAAGCATGTCTTGGCAGAAGGGGAGGAAAAAACCTCTCTCTGAATAACCAAACTGGGCAAGAAAACATTTTCTTTCCACCAAACGCACCAGCCAAATGGCAGGGTTTTGCAATACCGAATGACAACTCTGGGCCCCAGGTCCCAGCTAAAAATTCAAGGATCTAGAATGAAAATGTGGAGAGTTTTTTATTTCCACCCTCAGGAAAAAGACTCGACTATTCCTCAGGATTGTGTTCAGAAACATTTGATTCATTTCCTCCAAGCCTCACTTTGAGAATTTTTTTTTAGCAGAATCATTCCACTGAGGATATTGCTACAGAATCCAAAGCTGTCAATCTGTTAAAAGAAATTACACCTCCCCCCTCTGCTAACTATGCTGACAAGTTCTGCCATAGGCAGAGGGGAAACCAGCAAAAAGCAGAGATAACAAGTCACCTGCTCATTTAGGATCCAGATTAGATGAAAATAGAAAAGGTTTTGTATAGTCTGCCATAATTTGACCTGAACCATAACTTTGAAATTGTATTTTAGACGATAAGAAAAAAATCTAGACGGAAGTAATATCAAAATGCCATTATACTGAAGAAAAATATCTCATCCTCTTTCCTGAATTTAAGTTTTCTGATTTGTGACTGTAGGACTTTGATAATGAATTGAAAACCAATGTTAAATAAAATTAAATTATTTATAGCAAGACAAGAGTTTTACACATTAATTTGCCCAAACTAAAATTGTGTCTCCGACAAACCACTTTTCTCTATGAGGGTACTGACTATATGACAGTCACAGTTCTCAGAAATTAAAGTACAAAATAAAAATGGTTCAAGCTACATTTTATAAATTTACTCTTTCAAGCGAAAAGTCTGTATTCAACCCATAACACCAAGAATATCTTTAAAACACATGAGGGCCGGCCGAGTGGCGCATTGGTTAAGAGCTGGCTTGGGACGCCAGAGGGCCCCGGTTTGGATCCCACATATGAGGGCCAGTGACACTGCTCAACCTGGAGCTGGGCTGCCATGAGTCGCCGGTGATGGCGTAGGCTGCAGCCCCTGCTGCAGTGGGTTGCCATGGGCTACCGTGTGTGTCCAGCAGCCGCCGTGAGCGGCCGTCCAGAAGCCGGCGCCTGATCTGCCTCGCCCGGGAAGAAAGCAATGATGTGCCAACTTGGGCCAGTGAAGCAATGTCCTCCACAACTAGACTGAAGAACAAAAGGACAGACAGCAACTTGTCTGTTCCCCTTCCCCCAATTCCCCAATAAAAATCTTCAAAAAAAAAACAACAAAAAAAACCCCACATGAACAAGAGTCATTCATCAAAAAAAGAAAGCTGTGAACAGCTTTGGCACTGAAAATCATGATTTCATCCTCTCCGAAAGCAGTGCTCACAGTCTAGGCAAAATTGTGAAGTTAAAGGCTTGGATCCTGGGCTGACCCCCAACTAACTCTTTCTACATCTTCTCCTCTTTTCATAGTCCCATGCACCAGCTTATGCCCATGAAACACAACCTTCCCCTACAATGCGTGGTAGGGTGGGAAGATGGAGAGAAATTCATTCAACTTAGGTTTGTGTGATCTATTGGAAGACTCCCCAAAGGAATTAGCATTGTAGAATTGGAGAGGGCGGAGGGAAAAAGAATATTTAAATCCATAGAACAAATCAGGCTGATGAATTTTCAGGCATATTGTCATGGAAATACTGAGGGCAGGTAGTCTGACACTCTTCCCAAGGCAGGGCAGGAAGAACCCTGTCCGTGAGCAATCCTAGAACCCCTCCACCAGATTCCTGAGACACCACTAAGCCTCCCAGAGTCTTGGTTTCCACAACAGTAAGAAGAGAGTTAGAAGGGACGTTCTTGGAGAACAAACACATAGAGCCCCCAACAGGCTCCATCTGAGGACTTGCTGATGATTATGGGCCCATAAAAGATAGATTTTGAAAGGTGACAAATGAATTTAAATCATTTTCATTGTAAGCAGAACTGATGGAGGGCTCTACTTCTTGCCTTCCTAAATGTTACATGCTATCAAGGGACCATTTCTCTTTATTATGCTTTAGCAAATCCACTTCATAAATTATAGTTTATGTAAATAACATTTCTACTCTAACTTTGAAATCAATATTTGGTAACTATAAAAAGCAGTATAATAAAACACAAGTTTTGTTTCTGCTGTAACCAATTTTACTTTGGGGGAACTTTTTTTCCCCTCCTGTTCATTCAGGTTAGACATTCAGGTTAGATCAATCATACTCCCTCTAAATAGAGAAAAACACAATTAATATTATGGTTTATATATTTTCGTATTTTTTCTATGCATATGCATTCATTCACTCATATTTTCTATGTCTCTTTAACACATCTTGGACATCTTTCTATGTCACTAAATTCAGTTCTACACAATCATTTTTAACACATATAGCATTCCACTGAATGGATATACCATAATTAAACCAAATCCCCATTTGTTTTCCAATTTTTCAATCAATAAACAATAATGCAGTAAACATCATTGGGCACCTGTTTGACAAGTCTCTTAAAATAAATTTCTAAAAATAGAGTTGCTGGATAAAAGAATACATAAATTTTTAATTGACAAATTGCTTCCAGAAATATACAAATGTACCGTATTTCCCCGTGTATAAGACACACCTTAATTTGGGGGCCCGAAATTTGAAAAAAATTTATTACATAAAGTTATTGAACTCAAGTTTTATTCATCATAAAATTCATACAACTCCTTATCACTTTGCGGGAAATACAAGTAAAAAAAATCTACAACCACTGTATAAGATGCACCCAGTTTTTAGACCCCAAATTTTTCGAAAAAGGGTGCATCTTATAAATGGGGAAATACAGTATATTCTTACCATATATTCTTATCAACACTGGAAATCTCTGATGGACTTATAACTAAAAAATAATATATTATCTTTGTTTTACTTTTGTTTCTTGAATGACTACTGGGGTTAAAACATCCTTTCAAATATTCGTTGGCTACACTTCTTTTGTGAGAGGTCTTTTTTAAAATTGTGAGTCAAGTCTTTTTCATTTGTAAAAACCCTTCATAGCCATTTTTCTATCATAATTTTCAAGTGATTTTTCAGACACAGAATTTTTAAGTTCATTGATTATTTTCCCTTATGTTTACTCCTTTTGGTTTCATCCCTTGGGGGACTGTCCCCATTGAAAGATTTCTAAAGTATTCACCTATATTTTCTCCTTTATTTATGGCTTTAATATTTATGTCTTTACTTACTGCAATTCTACTTCTAGGAATTGACCATTAAAAGACAATTTTTAAACTGTGGCAAAGATACTTGTATAATGATGTTTACAGCAATATTAGTTAAAATAGTAAAGGAATCAAAGTAACCTAAATGTCCAACAACAGAAATGGTTAAGGAAATTATGGCATATACGCTATGGCTATCAGCAATCACAATGTAACACATTTTTAATGACAAAATGCTTCGATATAGTTTTAAGGGAAAACAGCAGGATACAGAATTAATTGTATATACATTATGATTTCATTGGTGTTAAAAATTTGGATATAAAAGGTTAGAAGAAAAATCTAGAAGTGACAACTGTCCTCTTTATACCCATTCTTATTTTCAAATTTTCTATTTTTCTCATACAACACTTTTATAGTTACATGTACAAAAAAAAATTGCTCATTTTTTAACAGTTCCTTTAAGGACAAATGAGATTTAACAATGCAGTAAAACTTGTTCGATGCTGTGGAAAGCAATAAAGTAAAAACGAATCATGAAACAGAAAGATGCTCACACTCTCTGACACAATATTTATTTTACTTATTCTTACCACAACTTGTTCTAGGAAAGATATAGAGATACGTGAAATATGATCAAATGACATCATTTAGAAGTAGGTGAGAAAGATAAAGGAAAAACAAGGACAGAGAGAAAAGTAGAGCCAGGAATGAGGCTAGCGAAACCCACTCACCACGGGATTCAACACAATTGCTAAAATTGGGCCACAGACATTACTGTGAATTTCTGGAGAGAAACCCAGTCCGTTATAAGACTCATGGTACTCATAAAATATGCATGCCAATAAAAGTCCAGCTATGAGTTTGTAGTAAATTTTTCCTCTGTGAAATTCAGAGTCTAACTTAGAAAAGAAAATAAGGTAATAAATGTTGGCCTCTATTTTCTAATATCTGTGGTAAACAAAACAATAAAAAAAGGAAGAAAAGTGCATACCCACAGTTCATGATCAGAGACAACCACTGTATCATTTTGTTCTGTGTCCTTCCATACTGTGTTCCACAATCTAGAAGGACCCACAAAGATCACAAGGTCATGGGTTCACACCTAAAGTCAGATGCACACCAAAGCGGAAATGAAGAATATTCATTTTTACCAACACTCCATATGAATACCTTCTTGGTGATCTCTAGGCATCCCTGACCATTTTTTTTTTTAATTCAACACTTCGGAAGGCCTAGCACAGAGCCACAGTACAATCATTCACCCAGGTGAGTACCTATCCTCTGGGCCTCGTCCTACCACAAAGGAACACCTCTTACTTCCCAGGAGCTAATGTGTCCAGTGACTGTGGCCTGGAGTCATTCCAAAGAATTTCCACTCAAGCCAAAATTTACAACCGACTTACTCTGGAGATCTTTGGTCTTTTGTCAGAAGTGCTATCTGTCCAGGCCACAGCTGGATCCTAAGAAGTCTAAGTGATCCCCTTCCCTCAGAGGGACCTCTTCCCACATTAAATATTAGCCCCCGAATCGCATTCTGCTTCCAAACCCCACGGCCCTAAGAGAACACCTGCGCATGACTGGAGGGCCTTTTGGGCTCTCCTCCTCCTGCTCCTCCGGGCCTCCTATCTTCTGATGCAAGCTGCCACTTCTCTCCCTTTCCTTAGCTCTTTCCACTAAGCTCTCCAGAGCACCCATTTCATCATTAGTAATGAAGTCCTGCAG